TGCCCCCTTAGATCAAGCCTAGAACAGCAGTTCCTGGCTCCAGTCGGAGCCGTGACTCATCAGAGGCACTGATTGCAACGACCAGGGTCTCCACCCGTCACCTGTGCCGACACAAGCCTACCACTGGCGCCCAGCACGGAGGACTGTGCGCGAGGCCGGCCCAACCATAGCTGGATTGCACCTGCCCTACCCTGAGGAGGAAAATAGCAAGAGCCAGATTTCCTAGACACGCAGGCCTCCCCTCCCCGCTACAACGACCTGCTCTAGTGCGCGCCGGACTCTCTGCCTGCCGGCTGCAGTCAAGACGTGCACAAGTTGCATGAGCTGCTGGCAGAGCTACCCTGAGACCACCACCCAGTAGAGACCAGTCCCTCCCGGGACAGCAAGCTCCAGTGACCCACCCCAGCACAGATCCCCATGCAAACTGATTCCCTTACAAATGCAAGAGTTGCACGTGTAGTTACCAAGCCCTGTCCCCAATAGCTAGGCACCGTGTGAACAGATGCCTGCCCCATCTCCAGCCAAGGGTGGGAGGAGGGGAAGAGGACTCCCGAGTCAGTGGGAGAAGAATGACAAACGCTTGCAACTCGAGACCTCCCATCCTGCCCTGGCACCCAGAGAAGGGCACGTCTCTACACCCCGTAGGTGGCCCTATGCTGCACGTGTCGCCCCAACTCCCATCTCGCCCACATGCTGCAACTCCACGAAGGCTTCAGAGGCTGCTACGCGAAACCCCGCAAGGGCTGCAAACTGTCTTCTTCCCCACCCAAAAGGCCTGGATGCTTTCCAGCTGCACCCCCAGGGCACCCACTTCCAGAAGATTTTAGGAACACGGAGCCAGACCCTCGGTGGACATTAAGCAGCAGAGACCCTCCGTGTGCCGCACAGCGCTGCTGATTTATGCCAGCTGCGAGGCCTTCCAACCAGGGCAAAAGACCAGGAGTCAAGCAAAGCAAAGGAAATAGCAATCAGCAGGGCACGGCTCAGCCTGAAAAACTGCAAGGCTCCTCTGGCAGTAGGCACTTGGAGGCACATGCATCCCCGACTGGCTGGTAGCCCTTGACCGCCCTGGGCGGGCATGCAACGCTGCAAAGCACAACTCTCACGCAGGGGGACTGGGCTGACATGATGCCACTGAGGGCAGGAGCTGGCACGCAGGCTAGGAGCAGGTACCCGGCCCCCTTGCCGCCCGATGCCGCTCTGAGCACACCCGCAACTGGCTGCATCACCGCGGGGTGGAAAGTTGGTGCAAGTTTTCTAGCGAAGGCAGGATTTGGGTCAGCGGTAACCGGCCCCCCCCCCCCCCC